AGCGACCAGATCTTTATCTGTGAATACAGTTGACAGGTTTGGTTTTATATCACGTAAAAACCTACTAACAACCTAATCGAATTAGAAATCGAGGCTGCGGACACTACCTCAAGGCCACACCCATCATCGAGTTTACTCGACTTCGACAAAAACGACTCGCGATGACGGAAAACTGCGCGCTGGCGTAATTGCAGGCGGCGCAGCAGAGGAGCGATGCGGTACTGCCCCCTCGACGCCCGAGCAGCGCCCTGTCAGCGGCAAAGGCCTGCTGCGACCACATGCGCGACTGGTGGCTCGGCACGGCACCGGGCGAGTGGGTGTCGATGGCCGTTGCGTCGGACGGCTCGTACGGCGTGCCGCATGGTCTCGTCTACAGCTTCCCCGTCACAATAGAGAAGAAGGAGTGGAGCGTCGTGAAGGTGAGGTGTAGCAGGTAGACCTTGCTGAACGTGTTTTTGATTCTGTGATGCTTGCTGGCTTGGGAGTGTGATGTTATGTTGGTCGTTGTAGTGGGCGTTCTAAATGTGCTGTCATCGGATAGAAATTATTTTTGTTGTCATTTGTGAAGACATGATCGTCTGTTTAACAATTCATGCATGCGTTTATGGTGTGGCCTGGTGCTTGTTTTTCTACCTGTTTTGTTAGCAGCATACATCACATTTGTAAGTGCTCGTAGCATACGTGCACGCAAACAAGAACTGATTATACTATTGCTATACCGCGAATGTCAGTGTTACATTATGATGGTATGCTGCATACTATATATGAATGTTCATATAATGTATATAGTAATATACAGACTAGTACATGAATAATGTAATATATATATACATATATATATACAATATATTATAATTATAAGTTTCCAGCTGAAGTGGGCATCTGGTGAGAAATATTTCTTTCTCACCACTGCATTAAACCAGGCTATGTGCTTGGCCACAGTGACATTTCCCCTAAGTTTCCTAGATTTTTATTTGCGGCACATACACGTTTTGTACAGGGCCTGAAGCTTAGTGGATTTGCTGAAGAGAAGATGCGCAGTGCTGCCGAGGAGTTGATCAGTGAGATTATCGACGCAGAGTCTGACGGACACACTTTGCTAGCGCGGCTATAGTGGCGCCGCCTGAGCTAAAAATCTGTGATGGAGACGAAAAAAAAATTACCGAGGATGTAAGACACTGGCAGTGACCACCTTAAGTGTCAGCAAAGAGATTGGCTCGATGTTCAACTTCTTAACCATATAGCTAGCCGAGCGTAGGCTCGTGATCGAATAGGCTACAGGTTCGTCTACAGGCAGATACGTGTGCTGTCGCACTTTTAGCCACAACGGTATATCAGACAATACGCAGAGGATTACTAACATAAGAATGCATTCTT